TCATCAATAAACAACACAAAATATTTAAAACAAGCATATGAATCAATTCGACATGGACCCCATAAATCAGAATAGATTAACTCAAAAGGTTTAACAAACATAGATGAAGAATTATTAAATGGTAGACGAACTTGTTTAGGAAATTGACGAACATCAGAAACGTGTGTCCTAAAAGACATAGATGGAAATAAAAAAGAAGGATGCCTAAATATTTGATGGACAATATGATTTTCTAGCATAGTACTACTAAGAGAAGTGGCACCGAATGGTTTGAAAAGATAAAGTCCATGTGAGTAAACACCTTCACCAATCTTCTTCCTCGAAATTTGATCCTAAAACACAACATCATTAGGAGAAAAAATAGCATTGCAATTGAAGGAGTTAGTTATTTTTATGACAGAAAAAAGTTGAGTTGGAAACGAAAGAATAACAAATGCATCTGTACTAGGAAGACCAGGAAAAAGATTAATTTTTTCAAACCCACAAATAGGAACTAAGGTACCATTAAAACTGAAACAACATGTTTTGATGAAGTTTTTGAGAAATCACTTAAAGATGCTGTATCATTTGCCATATGATCAGTGGCACCCGAGTCAATAACATAAGTATTCAAATGTTTAGATGTACACGAAGAGAAGTAAGCTTCAAGGTTACCAGAGACATGAGTACTGGTAGAAAGAGTACATTCTTTCAGACTAGGATGGCTAGGATAACCAAGTTGTTGGAGCATTTGAGTCAATTAATCTAGTGAGATGGTAGTGTCAGCAATAGCAGCAACTTCCATGTTTCCTCCTTTCATAGTGGATGGCTTAAGATGAGGATGAAGGTCCCAACAACGGTTCTTAGAGTGTCCTAGCATGTGACAGTGATCACATTTTGGAGCTTCCCATCATCCCTTGTTCTGAAATCTTTTCATTTTCTCATCTCTTTTTACAATAAGAGCAGTCGATTCAGATATATGCTCCAGTTCAAAATTCATAGTCTTTTTTTGAGTTTCTTCTCGTTGCACAGTTGCACACATACTAGACAAGGTTGACAGGGTAGAACTCATAAGGATATGACTCTTAAGATTCTCATACTCCCGGCTTCAAACTACTCAACAAAGAAAATATATTATCTTTTTCGACCCTTTTCAACAAGATTTTTGCATCGATTGTATGCGGGCGATACATGCTAAATTCGTCCTACTTTTTCTTAAGATAAACGAGATGTTCAGTGAATGTCTTATCCCCTTGCTCAGCAGCAGTAATTTCCCATTTCAACTCAAAGATTCTAGCAGCATTGTTTTGATTTCCGTAAAGCTCTTCAATATAATTCCACAATTCTTCTGCCGAATCTGAAAAGGTAAAGATTTCAGCAATATGTGCTTCCATTGAATTTAGAAGCTAAGACCTAACAAGTTGATCATTCGAAATCCATCCTTCATACTTTGGCTCTGCAGAATCTGGACAAGTAGAAGTGTCATTGATAAAACTCAACTTTTTCTT